TTACCAATGTGCCAATGACCCCATCAACTTCCCTTACCAATGTGCCAATGACCCCATCAACTTCCCTTACCAATGTGCCAATGACCCCATCAACTTCCCTTACCAATGTGCCAATGACCCCATCAACTTCCCTTACCAATGTGCCAATGACCCCATCAACTTCCCTTACCAATGTGCCAATGACCCCATCAACTTCCCTTACCAATGTGCCAATGACCCCATCAACTTCCCTTACCAATGTGCCAATGACCCCATCAACTTCCCTTACCAATGTGCCAATAACCCTATCAACTTCCCCAAACGATTCAAGTGATTGCAAATAAGATTTATACATATGATTTACAACTTTGTACACAATAATTTTAAATATGAAAACGGCCAACTTGGTGAAAGTACTACCTAGAGGAAAATCAATTAGTTTGATGTTAAATTAGTCAAATGTAGCAAATCACTTCATAACAATAGATTATTTGATAGTGCCAATAAAAAAATCCCTCGCTATATTGCAATGTTCACAATGACTTACCTAGGGAGTTTTCTAACTCCTCCTATGAATCTTGTTTGTGATCATTGTAACTAGGGTGGCAGCCTTGAAACAAGGATTTATAATTGGGTCCAGAGTCATATTTCAGAACCTTCTGGACCGAATCCTTTCATTCTTTGCATGTGCTTAGTACTTTATCAATTTACACCCATATTATGTTATTAGTCCCTGTTCGAACAAAGTTCAAAACAGGGACTTATAATTCGGTCTTGGTCTGTCCATCCACAGTCGTATTTCAGAACCCTGTGGACCAAATCTGTTTACATTTTGCATGTGTCTAGTACTTTATCTGGGACATATGCACATGTACTAATTTACTATTTCAATCCAAGATGGCTTTTTATTGATTCAGTCCAAGATGGCTGACTGGCACCATTTTGTTTTTTGAAATTGTGGTATCGTTTGCATGCTTTGTCAGTTTTTGTTCAAATTTGGTACATACATCACACATGTTAGGATACATGTCTATTACTATTTGTTTCGCGATTGAATCAAAGAAGCCATCTTGTTTTTTGGAAATGTTATATCATGGACATGGTTTGTCATTTTCACTCAACTTTGTTATATATATTGTACATTTTAAATTACATCTCTATGACAATTTGTTTTACAATCGGATCAAAGATTTCCATGACAATTACAGCGTAGTTTCACAATTGAATCAAAGATGGTTGACTGCCTGCAATCTTGCTTTTTGACCATACTACTATATCTCTGTACATGAGCCCAGACAAGGGGAATTCAGTTTGAATACAACAAACTCATGAACAGCATATCCTGTTTAATTTCTGACCATATATTTCGATTTTGGAAGAGTCATTTAATACATCTAGTTTATGTTGATATTAGACCAGCCAATTATTCACTCTCAATTACTAACTATGCTTTTGGTCCATATCACTTCATTTTTGGCAAGAATAACATTTCCCCCAAATTCCAACAGGGACTATGTCATTAACAATGACTTGTCACGTTTAATTTTTAGGATTCTTGGTTTCCGAAGAGCACCATTAGTGGTTGGTCGACATGTGGACTTGAAAAAAGAAATTATTCCAGTTGCTTCAGATCGATTGTTACAAACATTTTTCAAAGGTGTAGGTAAGGTGGTTAACTAGTATTAAGAATGTTTTTGGTACTGTAGCGCCCTCTATTGGTAGTTTACGACCTCTAGTGTTCATGATGAGATTAAATTTCCTGTGAACCACCTCGATTTTTTTATGAATTTCACAAGTCAAGGTGAAAACTGACATTTTGTATCAAATGGAAATTTGACTAAGGCTCTCCAGACTAATCGGTTGCAGTAAAAAACCTGAAATTCAGTAACAGTGATAGCCATCTAATTGGTAACATGCATCATTTTTAGCAGAGACAAGTTTCAGTATTTGATTGTTAAATAAAAAACAAAATTTTTTGCAGTGAATTAGAAATCCCAGTGTAGCAAGAGAGGGAAAAGCAAAAACATTTCTCTCCAGACATTGATAAAGCCAAAAAATAAAATACAAAGATTTTGCTTCTTGTCCTAGGGGAAATTGAAAAAAAATATATGGTTAATTTTTTTTGTATTAAGATTATTCTGTACCCGACAACAATGTACAATATTAAAAAAAATTATTAAATATTGCTTTCAAATAGAGGTATTAAAGGTTGATTTAGATCAACAAAACAAAAAAAACTAAAAAAACAAAATTTCTCCATTCTACCATGTGTGGTGCACTCAACCAAATTGATAGAAAAAATGTTTGAGGCACTCACCTGTGATAATAAAAAGCGAAACCTTTTTTTTTTGGTCTGGGCTATTTATGGTTAATTGCTATTTAAAGGTTTTAAAAATTCTGTTTCTTTTCAAGGCAATTAACAGTCGCATATGGCGATGAAAATCAAAAATTACCAGTTCACAAAAACTTGCTACTTTTTTTTGAGAGTTATGCTTAGATACCTCACTATTACAAACACAACATAGAATGATTCAATTCAGGTTTTTTTTTTTTGCTGGTAGGAAATAGTACATGTTTTTATGGTAGTTGTCATTACTGTAATAAAGAAGAGCCGGCATGTGACGATGGAGTCTTTCTAGAAGGCTCAATAACGTTATGGCTACCAAGTTCATGGCCGCTACAAAAACATCGGCATCCATGGGGTAGGACTTATAAAGCAGGCAAGAAAGCTAAGTGAGTATAGATTCCCATATGCAAATGAAGGATTCAGACTGTTTATCTGCAAACCTAAGAATTGATGGCACAAGTGTTAAAATATTAAAATGTTGAACCAAAATTTAATATGAAAGTTTGTGTTGTTTAAAGGGTAGAGGCAGATTTGAATTATCTACATTCGGTTAATATAGTGACTGCACGTTGTTATCCAATATGACAGGATGCCATGACATCATCCTGACATCATCCTGATGTCGCCCTGTATCTTTTATCTGTATATTCCAAAATACAGCATATTGTATTTTAGCGAATTGGCACCCTGTGATCTAAACTTAGTTGTGCACCCTCCTCAAAAAAGGTTTGTCCTGTCACTTACAAAAAAAGGAAAGTTGGATAATTATGCTGCAATTTCTCTCCAAATTCAGCTCTAGAAAAACAAAATTACACATATAAGGCTGGTTGAGGGCGCTATTCATCTCTATATATACTGTAAACATGTTGAAAAAGCGACATGCAATTTTAGCGAATTGTGGTAAAATGACGTAATAGCGAAATGTTGATTTAGCAAATCTCTCGTCATTGTTGATTTCTTTGTTTGGCGGCCATTTTGAATTGATAATAAAGTCATTAGCGACATCTTGAATTAGCAAATCAGTTCTCTCGCTAAATTCGCCAAAAAGACATGCTCGCGAAAGAGATATGTTTTACAGTATTCTCAATCTTGAAAGTCAATGACAGACAGATAAAATGCATTGGTTGCTGTACCTACCATGTTTATTACACAATTCCTCTATTACATGTGCCATTGCCAGTCAAAATAAAAGCTACAAAATAATTACAGTAATACAGTCGCTGTTGAGTTGAGCATATATACAAGGCAAAATATGATATGTTGAAAAAAAAACTGTTAACAAACAAGCTGCTCTCTGATTGGTCTGATTGTTAGGTGTTAGGGTTGTGTAGCCTATCAGGCTGGGTGTTACAAACCAAGACAGAAGACAATAATACTTCATGCAAATATATTCACATTATCACTACCCAGTGAATGCTACAATAACATGAATTAGCAGCTAATTGCTAATCTGTGAAACACGGATAATTTTCAATTTTGTTGTTGTTGTATATTTTGTTCTAGATGGGAATATGATAATACTTATTGTCGAGAAATCATTGTCAAGGACCCATTTAATTCTGGTCCCAGACTTCTAGACATCATGGATACCTGTATCTTTGATTACTTAATTGGTAACGGAGATCGACATCATTATGAAACATTCCAACAAGATGGCGCTGATGGTATGTTACTAAATATGGACAATGCTAAGGGGTAAGTCAATGTAATGTGAGGGTGGGTGGGTTACAGTACATTGGATCTGATGGGATGTTACTAAATATGGACAATGCTAAGGGGTAAGTCAATGTAATGTGAGGGTGGGTGGGTTACAGTACATTGGATCTGATGGGATGTTACTGAATATGGACAATGCTAAGGGGTAAGTCAATGTAATGTGAGGGTAGGTTACAGTACACTGGTCTGATGGAATTTCACTGAATGTAGATAATGCTAAGGGATAAGTCAATATAATGTGAAGGTGGGTAACATGCTTTCATGTAGCTAGACTAGTGTAAATGTAAAAATGGAAAAAAAATATACATGAAATAATTGAGTAATCACAACAAAAGTAATTGTTCAAATTTTATAGTTACTTTAGAATCTAGCTTCATGTCAAAGGTTATCTACATTAGTTATATGCTAATAACTTTCATTCCAGATTGACTAAAGTTAAGTTTTCCTGAAATGATTAAATTTGATAAAACATTCACATGCTGATTTATTTTTTTTATTTTCTTCTAGATTTGGTAATCCCTTTCATGATGAAAAAAGTATTTTAGCACCACTTTATCAGTGCTGCAAGTAAGTTATTATTGACTCTTTGAGTGCCTGATATTTTTCCCGCCAAAAATTCAGTACAAATATTTTCAAATTTTGTGAAATTTTCACTAAATTTTATCATCATTTTGGACCATATGAATAGTTTCCGATATTACTTTTAGTTTTCGTTCAAATTGTTTGTCAATTGATATCAACATTTCATGTGGGAGAAGCAGACTACAAAATCAATTCGTAGACCTTGAATACCTCTTGTCAACTTTCACAAAGGAAACAATTTTGTCCATGCTGAGCATGTTACTGCACATGTATGCAATGCATTGTATATAATGAAAAACTATTATAATCCTGTCAATCTTGTGAATTTTTTTAATAATTTTAAAATTTATGTCAATAATAATAATGTATGACATGAATTTTTTACCCTATGTCACTGAGAAAATTTAGAGAGATGAAGAAATGATCCTACATAGAAACCAGTGTAAAAAGGGACCCTAATTTTTTAGCCTTCGCAGACGAAGTCTGCCGAAGGCTTATAGATTGGGTTCTGTCCGTTCGTCCGTCCGTTCGTCCGTCCGTTCGTCCGTCTTTTACCTCTTATAACTTTGATATGCTCTGTCCAATTTTTTTCCAAATTGG